GACCCCGGGGCCTGGCAGGTGCCGCGGCTGCCCCGGGGCAGGAGACAGGGGTGAGGCGATGAGGCAGGAGGGGCTCCAGAAGCCGGCCCCGGTGCCCTGGTCCCTGGCCAAGCACACGTCTGTGCTCACACAGGGAAAGATGCCCCTCGGCCGAGGACCCGGGAAGCACCAGGAGCTGGAGGCCACTCCCCCCTCCCCCACACAAGGTCAGTGTGCGTGGGTGGAAGTCACACGAGGAGAGAGGAGAGGACGCCGCCCAGCACCCGCAGCGTCGGGCAGGGACCGCGGAGGCCGCAGCCGCGGCACAAGTGCCCTCAAACAGCACCGTGACCCCACCCCCCCCAGGTTTACTGCCCCTGGACAGAGTCCAGTCCTCCCGCAAGGAGAACAACCAAACCCGGGGAGGGAGGACACAACATTCACACTCACAACTCGCGGGCCATACGAAGAGGCAGGAGCACGTGACCCCAAACCGTGAGAAAGGTCACTCAACAGGAAATCAGGCCCAGAAATGGTGGAGACAACCTCACTAGTGCAGAAAAACAGGCGTAAAAGTTGCAAAAGGCTGATGGGACACCGAGGCGCGTGCAGAGCAGCAGGGGAGGCCCAGAGAGGCCGCAGACGTGCCACCCCCCCCCAACACCCAAGGAGACACTGAAATGACTTCCCACTGCACGGGGTCAGCCGCGGGTGCGATGTTGCACCGAGGTTCCCTGCGGTGACAGGGCCACGGGGCACCTCGGGGCGACACCCGGCGACCCGGCAGCCACGGAGCCACAGAAGGGAGCAGAGTTTCAAGAAGTAAGAACCCAAAGTATCCAAATTCCATCCAATAAAAACCGAGTTCCAAGAACTTCATTAAGTCACAAGCAGAATAAATACTAAAGTCTAAGGGCGCCTGTGGGGCTCAGGTCATGGCCTCGCGGTTCGTGAGTTCCAGCCCCGCATCAGGCTCACTGCTGTCAGCACGGAGCCCGCTTCAGATCATCGGTCTCTCTCTCCGCCCCTCTCCTGCTCACTCCATGTCTCAAAAATAAACATTTAAAAATGCATATATTAAAAATTTAAAGCCCAAAGCACAGTAGTGAAAACCGCAGAAAGCCTGTGGCGAAGGGGCCCCTTTCGGAGGGGCCAGAGACGCACGTACCCCACCCCAGAAGGAAACACAAAGGTCGTCCCGCCCCCGTCAGAGCCGCGGAAGCCAAGCCCAAACACGCTGCAGGGACATCTTCAAAGTGCCAAGAGAAAGAAAACAAAAAACACCTTTCGACCAAAATTCTACACGCAATGGAAATATATTTCAAAAATACAAAGTAAAGATTTATTTTAGACAAGAGAGCCGAGAGACTGTCTCAGCCAGATGTGCACCATAGGAAAAGCTGAAAGAAGTCTGTCGGGTCAAAAGAAACAATAAAAGGCAATTTGGATCCACACGAGAAAGCAGAGTGCGGGAGGGAGGCACACGACTCATTTTAAAGGTATCTCAGACGCCATCGGTCGATAAAGCAAACTGCCAGCCAGGTGCTTCCAGCAACAACGTGGCGTCCGGGGTCGGCTCTGGGAGGTTCCCGCGTCACGCGGCGCGACACTGTGTTACCCGGAGGCAGGCTGCGAGTGCAGGTGTGGGTACGGCTAGCGCTAAACCACGAACAGAGCGGGTGTCACTAACACACCAAGAGCGGACTTACCATCATCAGCAACGGAATCATCATCAACACAATTACCCCCAAACAACAAAGGGAAATACCACAAATATCGAGGCTGGGGATGTAAGCCTGAACATATTGGTATTTCTGCCTAAACCTGAGGCACCCGTGCGGTCCCCAAGTGGCCAGCGGTGGCCACGCCATCATCACCAAGGCCCTAGAGGACAGCACCACTGCCACCCCTCTGGGCAAAGCGGAGACGGTCAGATGGGGCCAAGGGCAAACCCCACATACACGGGCTACGAGGAGGGCACTTCCTACAGAAAATCAGACACACCTGTGAGTAAAGGGACCGGAAGATCCGTTGTGTGACATGG